GACTATTGAGCCGGGTTGCGGTCTACCGCTCAAAGTGTACCAAATACTGTTAAAAGTTTAACTTGATCATTGAGCCGGGTTGAGGTCTACCGCTCTAGGTGTAAAAATTTCTGTTAGAAGTTTATCTTGATCATTGAGCCTGGTTGAGGTCTACCGCCCTTTTACTATCAAAGTTTATCGTTATCCATACATGTTTGCATATTTTTTCCTCTCCTTTCTTTGTTTGATTTAAAAGTTCAAAATGCAAATTTCTCTTGGAATTTCGTCCTTATGAGCGTGTTTTATTGTATAATTACCCAAGGGTAATGCTTCCACACCTCCAGGTTTGTTTTTTTTTTTTTTCTCCTGTATTTGAATAAAATTTTTTTTGCTTTCCATTTTAGCCTGTTCTTTTTCCTGTGTCTTGGTTCTCCTTCTGCTAGGATGGTATCGGCCCGAAACAGGAGCAAAATCCCTCCCCCCAGTTTTACTGGGTCAGGCTGTCATACCCTTCTTCCAGGAGGCTCGGGTCTCGCAGTTATTGACATATCCGCGTTTCGTTATTGAAGGAGTTATGTTTTCTTATAAGTGGAACCTTTTGTTCGTTTTAAGCTCATACCCGCCGGTTTTCCTTTTGTCTATCCCTAGCCTTTAGAGGAAACTAGCCCATTTGATCCGTTCCTGTGTATCCATGCTCAAAAACCAAGAACAACGACTTGGGTAACTATGGACCTAAGCCCGCTGGAGGCGATGGAGGGTGTGACAGCCCCAGAATGCGATTGCAATTTATTGATGCTATAGCACACAGGTCCCAGGCACCTGGTATAGCAGACCTCACTTTCCGTGACCCTAACAATTTTCTGCCTGGTCAGCTTCATCTACATGCCCTTTTGCTCAACCCTGTAGAATGGGAGGAAGAGACTACCCCAGGATACCCTCTGTTAACCTATACAGTAATAACCCGCGTATAAGAACCTGGGGTTTAAGAACCTGTTAGGCTAAAATTTTCATTTTATGCACCATCCATATAAGAACCTATTTAGAGTAAAATTTTGTAAGGTTCTTATTTGTGGGGTTGTTGTAAAGCGTAATGTAGAAACTGCTGAATTAAGATATTTTTTGTCTTCAGCTTTTTAAAGCTTAAGTTTGTGTTAACAACACAATTTTTCCCCCAAGTATTTAACAGTTTGCCTGGGTTGCTCAAAGGTGGTTTAGATTAAACCTAGGGTTAATTACAGTACTCTATTAAAACAAAACTATTTAGTTACTAATCCACTTTTAAGCAACCAGCTACTATGTACTGTATGCTGCACCTGCACAGGACTGCCTATACACATCCCTGTATGGTAAGAAATTATTGATTTATATTGTATTATGAGATGATATTGATATATTTATGATATATGTAATATATTTAAATGGAATTGATATAAAAATATAAGAACCTATTTTAAACACCTATTTAGGCTAAATTTGCTTTAAGTACCATTTGTATAAGAACCTATTTAGGCTAATTCGAAAATTTCAGGTTCTTATATGCGGGTTATTACTGTATTCACTTTCTGGAGGTGTGAGCGCCCCACACTGGGATATTTGGACCATTTTCATGCCTTTCCATATYTAAATATGTATACTCGCGTGTATTGTTAGCATGTGAATATGTTACTTTTCTAAGTCTAAGAATAGAATAGCGAGTATTTACATAACAATAGATATCCCATCATGCATTGCTATGCAAATATTAAGGTGAACACTCCCTTTTGTGTCACTCTCATCTACGACGCCGAACAACTGGTTCTAAACTCCCCACCGCCCCACCCTGCCTAACGCGTTGTAAAACGTTTCCCCACAAACGCGAGTATACCGCTGTCCACTCCTGTGAACAGCTACCCATTTTCATGCATTTCCATATCTAAATATGTATACTCGTGTGTATTGTTAGCAAGTGAATATATTACTATTTCAATACCTAATCATAACATACTGTGAGAAGGTGGAATATCCTTAGCTGCAGATACGACTAAACCCAGCTCATCAAACAATCTATTCATAAGCTGAAATGAAGTTCGTGAATGATCTGGCATGTCAGCGCCGTAAAAATCATCAATATAAACATCGACCAAGATTCCTAGTTGTCGAAGGATATTGCTGAACACGTGACAGCCACGGCCTAGGCGGTTTACAAAAGAAACGCGAGGCGATCAATGCCTCGTATAAACTGAATCTGAATTCGTATGGTTCGTTTAGATAGCTATCACTGGGTATGCCATTGTTAACAAATGTCAAGTGGGGAAGACTCATATTGTGTACTACGCGAAAGTCTGAAGAGTCCCGTTAGGGAACGCATAACAAAGGATATATAACACAGTTGTTTTTGAATGGGTGACAGTGGTATGGT